CCCCCCCATTCTGTTTCTTTGCTAATGAAACTGGGTCATTTATCTTTACAGAGAATTTTCTATATTCAATATTTTATCAGAGTGGTATCTATTCCTCTATCCCCATTTATTCTGTAAATATTAGGAAAGGAGAGGAAGTTTCTATAGAATTCCTTCCAATAAATAAAAGAGGGATGTTAGAATACACTATGTTGCAACTCAATAACGGATCCAGACACCAATCATGAGTGAATGGTAGAGCCGTTGGGTGAAAAATTATTGGAGGACTTTATCTGGAGGTTGATAACGTCTGACTTCAATATTCAGTCCTAACCTCAGATTGCTGATGTGCTTCTGAGGTTATGTAATAGGAAAAACAGCACCTGTGAGATATTCTTTTTTAAAAAAAGAAACCTGAATTTAAGCCTCTAGGTTGAAATAATAAAGAAGCATCTAGCCATTTTTTTTGTTCTATGTCTCTTACCTATCAGCTAATCCTTAATGTATCAGTTCAGTGAATTTAGCACTCAGGCTTACTGGCATGATTCCAACTTTATCCCAGGTCTTCTCTGTGTTTAGGGGAGAGTATGTTACTTTACTTCCTTACTTGGAATTACTTAGGAGTAATATTCTATGTTATAGGGTGGTTAAAAACATCTAGCAGGTTACCTGGTGTTTAAGTAGTCTCACTAATAAATAATAGGTACATGGCTTCTTGGCCTTTTGACTAAGATCAAGCATGCTTATCTGTTCTTGTCAGTTTTAACATTTGACACGTTCTCTATCCAAGGACAATGTATTGAATGGATTTTTGGAGCAGGGAGATGGAATAGGAGCTTGCTCCATCCACGCTGTGTGTTGATCTGGTATTGCAGTACCTGTGGGGAACAGAGCACGCTCCTCCCCCCCGCCCCCCCAAATAGGTACTTTGTTTTATATAAGTGCTTCAACCCAGATGTTAATTGTTCTTTATGGCACAAGGAATTACTAAACTATCAATAATTATATTGTTGACCCCTATCATTGTAGTTTTTATTGTGACATTTTACTGAAACTGAAAGTGGGGGGTGGAATTCTTAAAGAAATTCGGTTTTTTTACCAATCAAGAATATCTATTCAGATAACATTTTCTTATACTCCTTTCCTTAGTTTGGTTTTAAATGTTGTAATTCTGGGGCAAAATCTACATAATTAAAAGACTGAGAGAGTTAATTATGAAGACTTGAAATCACCCTAAATTCCCTTTGAGGAAGGCACCTCATAAGCCTGGTTCTTTCAGCTATGTGACCAGCAGTTCCATGTAATGAGGTGAATTAAAGATTAATTGTAGATATGCAGGAATTCCCAGCGACTTAAAATGTTTTCCATTGTAAGTGAAAATGCAAGCTTAGTTTTTTAACTTTAAAAGCTGCAGAATTTTCTCTAAAGGCAACATGGCAGGTACAGTTTTGAGAATGAATTACAAGAACAGGCCTAAATGATATTTAAAGTGTCATTGATAGTTTAATAAGTAATGTTTCTTTTTTATATTTTTCAAATTACTTTAGAAACATTTAAATTATTTTGTGTTTCCTCACAATTGTACACATGTGAGTAATGTTTGTATGAACATGCTTGCCTACAGTATCAGATTGGATTCAGAATCTGGCACTACCTGTATAAGTAGACAAGATACATATTCTCTGTAGTCTCCTCTATGAGTTAGAATACTAATACCTAATTTCCCAAGGGTGGCGGTGAGGATTAAATGAAATAATTTAAAGTGCTGGTATATAGTAGCTATTAATTGTTTTCACCATTTCTGGATTTATTTCCTATATTGATTTATACAATATTCTATAGTCTGCAAATTATATTCATATACTTTTGGTTTTAGCCCTATGGGAACCATGTGAAATGATCACAAATATTGTCTTATTTTAATGTTAGCACAGTACATCTTCTTCCATCCTTTTAATTTTTTTGTATGTCTATATTTAAAATGTATTATGTAGGAAGTAAATATAGTTGGGTCTTGCTTTTTTATCCAACCTGAAAATCTTTGCCTTTTGGTTGTGTGTTTAGACCATTTATATTTAATGTTATC